GCATGTAGGTAGCAAGTATGACTTTCCGTTCGGGAACCACCATAAGAGTTACGAAGACGTTCTCTGTCTCTGCTAAGTAGTACTTGGCCTCTTCGAAAGTGGATTCCTTTATAAATGTAGATAGGTTAAGTCTCATGTATCTCTCATTGTAGTCTATCAGAGGCAGAGCTAGATCCTATTGAAGAGGAATTAGTTATGCTGGGGAGGGGCTGGGTGGCCCTGTGGCAGCACTTATTTGCACAGTGGGGGCACCAGATTATACTGTGGCGGTGCTGGATGATACGATGGAGGAGCATGGTTGTATCGAGGTGGTACTTGATCTTTTCGTTGCAAGGGTGGCTTATACTCTGGTAGTTGTAGAGGGTCAGATAGCTCCCTCATCTCTTCCCGGGCCTGTTGGGTAAAGATAAGTCTCTCCAGCATCTCAAAGAGTCGATCGACATCCTCTTGAAGTGACCCATCTCGGGTTGCTCTGTTTAGTGACAGCCTTCATCTCCTCATATTTTTGTATCTGCATTTCACGAGAAAGGGTTAAGTGTCAGGTTATATTTGAATGATTCAAATCTTCGTGCAAGGAATGGTTCCGAGGAACGCAGCTCTGATACCAACTGTAAAAGCCCAAAACTTAAAGGAAATGAATATATACTGTAAAGGCATAAACAATTAAGAGTTTATGATTTACATTCCTTACATAATGAATGGGGATGCCCAATAGAGCAATGGAAATATCCCTTTAAAGAAGTTTTCAATAATAGAATAAATAAATAAATAAAAACACAACTAAAGATCCTATGGAGTTAAACTCTGCTGGGCAACTCTGATGGGATGCAGGATGCAGCTTTATTCGCAATTTGTCTTTTGCTGTTTAGGATTTAGATCTTTGGTTTTCTTGATCTAAAAATGGTTAAATAAGGGGATGTACTACACTAGCTCAGTAAGAATATCACGCTTTGCATTGATATGGAAAGCTAAAGGTTGGTAAAAATTATAAATAACCAATGGAGCTATTATCTCTTTTTAAATAAATTCATTAAACATAAAAAACCATTATTCCCATACTTACCATTTTGAGTTTTCAAAACCGACCTATAAAGACAATAAGTAGGATAACATTTTATTTCATATTTAAATGAACAATAAGAGTAACTTACTTTCTTACCCGCTTACCAGTACCTCTGGGGGTCCATAGGGATCCCCTTTACGTGTGGACCCAAGATCCAATTTGTCATTTAACTGACTATTCCCATACCCCATCTGGTAATGGGTACCAAACATATCACTGCCTCAATACCCCGTCCGGTATGAGGGTGAACTATACCTCTCAGCCCTGTTTGACTGAGGTAATGTCCATGGTAGGATTTTTTCTATGCACCAAATTCGTACACCCTTCCCTAGAGTACCCAATAAATCTTTTATACATATATCTACATCATCAACCAATCATCAGTTACATACCAACATTTCATATTTACAGATCAACAGTAAGTCATGCAAATAGATAATATGAGAATTAAAAAAACGTGGTTAGAGTATTTGCTTCGAATATGTTAATAAGTGAGAATAATTAGATAAACAATCAATGAACAAGAAAGTAATTAAAATAAATAAACAATAGCAATTTAGACAGTATAGGAGAACATAAGCAACATAATTGGGCAATTATACACTAACCAGTTTTAGCTCAACTGGTGACTTGTAATTAATATAGAAATTTTTAATTTTTATAAAACACATCATTATTAGTTA